TAACTTAGGAATTCGTTAATCTTTCGGATGCAACATATATTTAAAATAGCCTTAAAGATATTGATTTAAATTTCTTGCATATAAAATAATGTTTCATACTGCCATAATGTAAGTAATAATCTGTACATTTCGTTTGGTCACTTCAATATTGTATGTACTAATGAGTTTAAAAATATGTGATTCAAATATAGCATGTAGTATATTTTAAGAATCAACAACTAGAACTTCTTATATTACATAAAGTAAAAGATAATTTACCACCTGAAACTACGTACTAATAGCTATGCCTGGTTAGATCTCCTACTTCTGCGAGAAGAACTTGCAAATAATGGACGTGGTTTGTATAAGTCATCGCTTGAGTAACGTTGACTGCTTCTATGCCGGCTGCAATTACATAACATACTAGTTACATCATGAATAATAAAACATGATTCATATTTCAAAGAAAGCAATATTTCTATTCTAAATAGGAAGTATGTACAACTCTTTACACTATATACTGTACATACTTAAATAATGCTTCATATAGGTTCTTAATTGCTCGACAAAACAGTTGCTCATAAATAAAAAGAAAAGATTTGAGTCATACAATATTTTTTAATTTATTATATGTACAAAAATTACTGGATTATTTATAAAGAAATTCAGATTCTATTTAGATACAAAAATATAAAAACAAAGAAGAACATTGGTGTCAGAGATCATTATTTTACATACCCTTTGTCTTCTTTAATTAAATTAGATGATGGTATTTTTTCACTAGTTGCAGACACATCGCTTTCTGGGCTTAAGGGCATAACAAAATTTTCTCCGTTTAGTAGTCCTTGTGGAGCACATATATTTGCTTGTAGTCTTTGCTTTTTGACTCCAAGAAGTTTCCTTTTCTTTATAGTGTTCAAAACATCTTCATTCGGTATGTTTAACACTTTCTTATGGCCATCATTGTTATTATTTGAGTTATTTAATAATATATCTGACAATGGACTAGTTGAAAGTTTGCGTTTTGGCAAAGGTGGTGCCATAGCTTTTGGTATTGAGGATACAACTTGGCCTCCTAAACTTTCTATTATTTCTTCTAAGGAACTATTTTCTACTAATTCCAGTGATTCTAAGAAATTGGAGAATTTTTCGGATATCCCATTGTCTGCCTTGAAATAACGACAGTCTTCATTGTCTTCAGCTGCCATCGAGGTAGATTCTATAGCCTGAGATTCATTGCTAGCATGTACCAGATGATATTCTTCAGCTATATCTCTACATACGTTGGAAAGGCTATTATTTTGAGCATTTTGAAGAATACGTTCATTCCTAGATGTTTCTATATCTTCTCTATGTTTCAAATGATTTATAGTATCTGTTTCAAGATCTGGTGTATTTGCCTGGTTCATTGCTTTGCCTTTGCTACTCACTTCAGGAATGATACAAGAAGAATTTACTTCTTGAGACCTTATACTTTTCTCTATTTTAGATGTACCAGCTTCTTGTGATATTTCATTCTTCTTATCTATATTTCGATAATTGTTCGCACTTTCTGATTCTAGAATCTTGTTTTTTATAGAGTTTCCTATTGTAGATATCAGAAATTCTTTGTTTTCTAAGTCTTCACTTCTTTCACTGCTATTATGTGTTGTGTGTTCTAATCTCTTATTGGGAAGTGTTTCACATAATGACTTTTGGATGCACAACTCCATGTCTGACAATTTTAACTTTAAGTCAGAATGTACTTCTAATAGATCCTTTGTACCTGCTTCACTTTGTAACATCATTATTGATCTCTCTTCCAGTGTTAAATTAGTGTGATTTTCAGGATAAGGTTCTTCATATTCCTCATCTGGTATTTCTATTATTTGTACACGTTCTTCATCCGGTACACTTTCAAAATTGTCATTATTTGAAGAGTTGGATTGTGTTAGAGGTTCAACTTTGTGTTGATGTTTCCTCTCTACCTTCTTATTTTCTTTAAGCTTCTGTTTTTCTATTTGTTTTCTAATTTTCATTAACTTTTTAGCTTCGTGTATATTTTTTGCAAATTTCGGTTTTTTTAGTTTCACTTCTCCTGAACCATTAGTATCTTCACCATGTAATGATCGTTTCTTCAAAGGTAAGTTAACATCATTCAGTTCAGATTCTTGTTTAATATGTGTTTCATAGTTACTGCTATCATCTGTTTTGTACTCTGCATTGTCGAATTTATAATCTGACTGTCCTAATGATAATCTCAAGTCATTTGTATGTGTTTCTTCCATATTATCTGATGTTTCACTACTGGAATTGCTAATATGATTTGATTCTTTAGACGAGGTTGATGAACCTGACTTATTACTTCCAATATTGGAACTAAAATTACTAGACTGCGAGCTTTTACTGCTAGACCCGTTCGAACCGTCTCTGTCTGTCGAGCGCCGATCATTAGAATTCTTTCTTAAACTAGAGTGATCATCTTTTGACTTGGATTTCTTCTCTTCTCTCCGCTTCTTATCCTTATTTTGTATTTCACTTTTACTATCCTTCTTGCTTTCTAGTTTTTCATTTCGAGTAGAGCTTTTATTTACCTGATTTTTTGTATCTTTTTTGCCATTTATTTTTTCATTGCTTGACTTGACATCTTTCTTAATGTCAGATTTTTCAATTTTCTCATTCTTCTCGTTTTTAATCATTTTTTTCATATCCTGTTTCTCAGATTTTTCAGTTAAATCAGATTTAGTACTCATATGATTTTTCGACTTTACATCTTTTGAACTACGCTTTTCATCTCGTTTACTTTTATCTTTTGATTCGCTTCTCCTTTCCTTTCCATCGACTTTTTCCGATGCTTTAGCAACTTTACTTTCATTAGAACTTAAAGTTGAGCTTTTAGAAAAAGAACTTTTATGATCTTTTTTATACGATTTCTTATCTTTCAGTGAATCTTTCTTATCTTTATTTTCTTTGTTTGGTTTTGTGTCCCTATTATCTTTGTTTAGCTTTTCCTTCTCGGTTAATTCCTTTTTCTCTCTAAGTTCACGAATTTTTTCTTTGTAGAGATCTTTTAAATCTTTTCCTTCCTTACTAATGTTATCCTTTTTGTCTGTGTCCTTTGTCTTGTCTTCTTTCACTTTAGTATAATTATCCTTCTCCATATCTTTATTTTTATCGCTGTCTTTTGGTAAATCGCCTTTCTCTTTAGATTTACTTTTGTCATACTTATCATATTTTGTACTGCTATGACTTCTTTGCTTCTTTTTGTCACTACTTCTGTCCCTATGATGTTTTCCATCTTTAACATGATTCTTGTCTCTCGATTTTGATTTAGATTCACTGTCTCTACTTCTATCTCTGTGTTTGTGTTCATACTTATCTTTTACGCTACTATCTGTAGCATCACGAGAATTTTCTTTCGTAGATAAACTGTATTTATTATTTTTAGAATCTTTAACATCTTGTATATCTTTATTTTTATTTACTTCAAAAATATTTTTATTTTTATTCTTATTAGATTCATAGTCTCTGACAGCTTTAAAATTGTCTTTAACATTTTTAACATCACATTTGTCTCTATTGACTTCATCCTTCAATGCATCATGTATGGGTGTTGATGCATGATTTGAAGAACCAAAATCTGTTACAATCGACAATCGAGAGTCAGAAGAAACTTTACTTAATTGTGAATCTTGATTGCTGTAATCAAAATTATCTCTTGACAATTCATTACAAAAGTCGGGACTTCTGGATCTATGGCTAGTTAATTCTGATATTCCAGATAAATGTGAATCATTGGAAATATTAGATTCATTCAAATTCATAATATCTATTGGTTCAAATGTAGGACTATCTTCTTCCTCCTCTTCCATCTTATCATCTGATTTGCCAGATGTATTTAAATTTAAATTGCTATCAGTCTTATGAAGAGTTTTATCACTTTCAAATAATGATTTTTCCTCAGACGAGATTTGTCCATTTTCTGAAGCATTGTCTTTATTATTTTCATTAGAAAGTTCATCTTCCTGTAATTTCTCTTCGTGAAACAATTTTTCTTCCTTTGTTACTTCCAAGTCTTCCATTGCATCCACAGACTCCAAAGATACATCTTTCAAGCTATTTTTATCAGACTCTGGTGAAACAGGATCCAAATCTTTGGGTAGTAAGTCTTTAAGGCCACAAGCACCATTTTTTTCTTTTGTTTTAGGTCTCTCTATGCCAAGATACGTATATACTACATCTTCAATGTGGGACATAAAAACAGAATATATCTTTGGATGTACTACTTGATCTACTATACGCTCTACACCGGCATCTAAATAAGGAGCTTCGTGGATGTGTTTGCGTAAATTTTCTCGTAGCTGATTCTTGTTTAAATCTGGTTTCCATGATTGTTTACTAAGGAAGGAATTTACAGATCCTTCGACTCTTGTACGTAAATTCTGATATGCTGGCTGTAATCAAAGTAATAGGGATTGTATAATTGAAACTAATTTTACAAGATTAGTTACTGAACTCAGCGCATCTTTGGTTTTTATTTAAAGTTTTTAAAGTTCTAAACTTTTTAAAGGAAACGTAATATGTATTTAAATCAAATTTATTTCACATGATACGTGTAAATGATTATGTAATAATTCAAAATTGTAAAAGACAAATGTTAAAAAATGAATTTCATACCTTTGTATCAACATCAGCGATACATTCTTTCCGAAACTGATCGAAAATCCCTTGGGATTTAACTTCTCCAACGATGTGATCAACTAATCGTGGATCACCCGCCAACAACGTGTTGGATAAGCCCAACTCCATTCTAACAAAGCTATGTAAAACAATGATAATTTACTTGAACACTAAACAATTATTCATTTTCATTGCTGAGGACACCTTCTGAGACAGTACGCAGCCATACTCTTCTGGCTTTACATCTAGGTTAAACACTGTATGCAGCGCAGCTGTATGAGTAAATGAATAATAATCAGTGATACCAATCCTTCTATTCTTTTGTATTTATATACATTTATGTAATGTACATGTATGTACATATGTATCGCGTATGCATAAAAAAAAACAAAAAAGCTTAGAGAAAATAGTTTATTCAGTTGTATATTTTATGACTATATGCGTACATATGTATACTATATGTAAGTATGCATTATAAAATAAAAAGAAATTAAAATCACTAGAAGAAACTAGTAGTGGGTCCTATTCCTGCACACCTCCAGGCCGCAGCTTGATCCGTCAGCGGGGATTGATATAGAAATTTTCTTGACTATAATTAGCTGACGATTCAATGCTGAAACAGGATCCACTGCGGATTGGATGCAAAGTAAAATGGTAGGGATGTACGTGCCAGCGTAGAGAGTAAGGAAAGCGTGCAGGAGTAGGTCTCACTCTGTATAAGTACTTACATATGTTACTATGTATGTATATACAATGTAATAAAGAATTCTTATATTTATTTTTATTACATAATGAATATAAGATATTCAAACATGATCAAATATTAAATCATGACTTTTATTATACAAAATTGGAATTTTCAAAAGTTACATGTATACATGGAAACAAAAATTATATAAATAGGAATTGATTTATTTTTATAACAAAAACTTGAGAAATTAAGTATTTTTTGTATGAAATTTCAATATTTATGCAGAATAAGAATTATGTATTGCATACTTATATATGTATATGTATAGTCTAATTAACAGTTGTTAGCTACAGTCTAATATTATTTTGCTAAAGTAGAGAGTAGAATAGATAAAGACAGAGACTATCATGATGATCACAATCATAAACATCAGAGTGAATCCCAAGTAAACAATTGAGGGTGGCTTGTCTTGATTTTTGTTAAAAAGGTTTCATTGTTATATGTTAAAATACATGAATTGTTATTAAAGATACAATGTTGTTAAATTGTTAAATTAATATCTTAGATTGTATATTCAAAACATAGTAAGGCACAAGTAATTATACTTGAGTGACCTTTTCCTTTGTTTTTCAGTTCAAGCAATGCGGATAGGAATAAGGATATAAAATGACAAAAGTTATTGAATTACGTCCTAAAAAAAGCCTAACAAATTCAAAATTCGAAAAGTATCAACTTTGTACTGATGAAATTCCTGTTGCTACTGAAATAGAATTAAATGCAGGCAAGTACTATTTAATGATGGAAATCACATTATCACAAGAAATAATAATATTATAGACATATTTAAAAACGTTACAGATGTGCGCAGATTAGAATTAACTTTAAATCGAGATTCTCTGTTGGAAACTCATTTATTTGCATTTCATAATCATTTATTTAAAAATCCATACGATGCATCCTGTTGGTTCATAGATGATAAATGGTTAGTTTGGAGACTCAGAAACAACGGTACTTTAGAAAAGCTACATCAAATACATGATACTAATACAACTATACAAAATGTATTATACAATCCATCAATTGTGTTCGCTAGTAGTAATTTTGTGGTAATTTCTGATGGTGGGGATTGTGTAAATATATTATCAATAGAGGATAAAGAGCATATTAAAGTTTTTCCAATAAGTGATACAGAACCTGGAGTAATTTTAGATGCAAGATATGTGAATGCAACATCAACTATTATAGTTGCATTATGCAACATTAAAAATGTTGGTGAAAAAAAATTTACAAATCTGATACTATTAACATATACACAGAAAAATACAGGAGATGCATTAGAATCTTTTGAATTTAGTCAAAAAGAAGCTTTGAAAATAAATGGTGCTATTGAGTATGTACATATAGAAGATACTGGCAAATATTTTCACTCTATTTGTCAAGATTACATTACATTTCAGCATCCAAAAGTGCTAGAATCTGTTGATAGTAAAGATGATCCACAAACAGCCAAAATAAAAATTCCAAGGTATTGTTGGTCTCAAGATGAAGATTCATTGACTATTTGGATTAAAATAGATAAAGAACAACAAAAAGATGTTAAAGTACATGTAACACCATTAGAGTTATCAGTAACACTTAATGGTATTGTATTAATACAAGGTCAAAGCCAACATAGATTAGATGAACACTTAACAACATGGAAATATGAAGATGATACTTTTAAATTAGAATTATTTAAGCACGAATGTGGTTTAATATGGAGTGAACTAATTAAAGGTGACACTGGTGGAGAACATTTATCAAATGAAGCACTGGCTGCTGAAATTCATTCCAGGTGCCAATATTGGATTAATATTTGTTGTCTTGGAGTTCAGAGAAATATTCTATGAACAAACAATTTGATTAGTATTCTTTAGTACCATGTGTGCTTAATTTTGTATTTTCTAAACTTTTCTTTTGTCTTTTATACAGGCTAGCACATTTGTGCACTGATCAAACAGACAGCAAGCAGGATGGTCAACCTTGCATAGGATTTAATTCTGAACAACTTGAGGAATGTGATCTTGAAGGAAAAGACAATCTATTACAGAGAATTGATCTTATTATGCAAAAGACTACACATTTAGCTATGCTAGGAACAAATAACCATGTGTTATTCACATACAAAACAAAATCTGGCCAAGCAATATGTCTCAGACACGATAATGATAGTTGTTTATGGGTTACTGGTAATGCTGATGACACTAAATGGGATATAGAACATTATTACACATTTCCTGGTTTTGGATATGTTGAAGCAAGTAAACGAAATAAAAAATTCTGCGTTTCTCCAGATGGTAAGTATTCAACTACTACATAGATATATTTTGCTTTACTTGAAAGATTTTAACTTAAAATATTTCTAGATGGTTCATATGTGGCCATACTGGAACACACAAGGTACATTTTTTTATACAAAAGGCCTGAATTAACTATTAAAGTTGAAAAACAATGGATTGTAGACTTAGGAACTGAAGCACTTCCTATTATGGGAGCTACAGCTACAAACAAATATTTAATTATACTTACTAAAAATAAATTATATCGTTTAGATATCTGCTTCTGAAATTAACCCTTTGTGCTCGAGTTGTGACTGTGAGGCATCACCAAAAATTCTTCTATCACATCCTAAAATGAGTTTAACAATGTGAAATTTATTTATAATTTAAAGAACTGTTAAATGTGCGAATGTTGTACAAGTCACAAGACTTAATTTCGCATGCATAAAAATGCAGTAAGTCATATAAAACGCAAACAATCTAAATCAGAGAGCTATTATTTAGACTTGAGAAATTTAGAGTAGAGAACTATTGGATTTAGAGTTAAAATGGTTTCGAATGCAAAGGGTTAAATAAATTAACAGCTCTATTAAAACAATATAATAGGGTCAATGTTTTTATTCAGACTGTCATTGATTGCACACGATATGCAATGTATGTATTTACAGGATATTATATTTAACTTAAATTCTAATTCTTAAACTTTATATCGTACAATTGTTGCATGACACAATTTGATGAATTATCCATCAGATACGTACGAGAACAGTAACTCTCAGTAAATACTGTAGAATAAATACTGAAGGATCGTTCATCAAAGTTGAATCTCTGAGTGAGTAGTTAATTACATTGTAATATAAAAATTAACAGTTAATGTCGTCCTTTGTATATATATTTGGACACCTTTCAGAGATGGAATTTACAAGATCTTCCATAGAAATGGTTTGATCTTTAGGCCAATACCAAACAAGACGAGTGGTAAAGGTTTCAATGAAGTTCGCATTAGCTTCGGGTGGTTTGTCATTTATAAACAAACTGTTCTGTGTTTTAGAGTTATAAACGTACAGTTGTGAATATGTAGAGCTTAAATTTAGTGTCCATGGATCTGCAATGGTTTTTAAAAACAGTATGCTGTTTATTGCAAAATATGGCTTCTCGAAAGAATGATCATCCGAATATGTGTCCAACAATTCATAGGCTAAAACTGGTTGACCATTTTTCATTGTACGTTTTTGCACACACAGTTTTTCCCTTATATTTAAACGTAATGCGAACAAGTCTTTGGTACGTATCCGAATTCCATTAGGATTCCACAAAGCTTCACAAAATTTCTTTGCGAGCGTATGCCTGTAAAATGTTTTATATCAGTTCTGTGCTTTATCGAAAAAGGTACCGTCGATGTATAATGATGTAGTAGATTTGATTTCTTACCTCTTTCGTAGATGTTCATTACTAACGTTCTCTCCTCCCAAAAAGTAAGCGTCTATAATGTGTAATGCTAGTAATTTACGCTGATACCGAGATTGCTTTGTCATTTCATGGAGCAGTTCTCCATATATCAGTGTACCAGCAGGCAATTGTATGCTATTATTGTTAATGTCTTCCCAAGAGCTTTTCACATAACGATACACTTTGCTCCTTCCCAAACTCAGGTAAAATGTAGCAATTGTTTCTTCTTTCCCACTTTCACAAGGTACGCAATAGTATTCGAGCGGTTTTTTCGATACTATGTCTTTTAAAGTTTCTTTTGTTAATACTATTGGAAGTTTGGAAAGGAATGAAGGATCTCCAAGAAGGCTTCTCAATTTTTCCTGAGGTTTCATGCGTATTGGCATCGTCCTACTTTTGTCTGGAATCTCCCAATACTTCAAGCAGTCTTTCCGCATGGTAACTTGTTCTGGTTCGACGAGAGTAGTGTCTTCGCAAAATGCGGCAATTTTTCGAAGGGCTGTTATTTGTTTTCTTCCTAACTCATTATTAGAGTCAATTAAATATTTTAAAAATTGCTTTTCTCCGACTAATTCTTCGAAGGCTACTACTTCTCTAACGTCGTTATTTTCATCGTTCTTTAAAAGTATCTCGTTAATGTGTTTGAGATATTGTATAGTGAATTCTATATTTGGCCTTTTCCTTTTACATATTAAATATCGTTCGGAATTTGCAGGTCTAGATGTGTTTGGTTTAAAAATACAAACTTTGTCAAAGCAACGATACATTAAGTAAACTATTCCAGCACTGAAGGGAGTAAAGATATCAAACAGTTTTGTAACAAAGTGGCCCCCTTCTCTTACGATCATCAGTGCTACCAAACATTGACAAAGATATAATTGTTTTGACAATATTTCTTGTATATTTTCCTGACCCTTAACTGAAAATCCTCCGTCAGACATCATGAAATGTACACCTTTATGATTGGTATATTTCATGATGAGTTCTCTGAAGGCTTCTTGATTAGCAGGATCATAAACATTGCCATCATCGGCTGGTCCATAGTATGGATAGAATGTTTCACAAGGCCCAGCATAAAAGTCAGCTAATTTGAAATCATTTTCATTTTTTAAGGTGAATCCAAATCCTTTTGCATGCCATTTTTTCCTCCACAAAATATATTCACTAAAACCACCTGGTCCAGCACACACGTCCGCGAAATAAAGTAATTCATCTTTCTGTAGGCAATTTGGTTTAGTAAACATAAAATCACATACTCTATCCATGTTTGCCATTTTCATTGCGGCTCGATTCAAGAAAAATGCACCACGTATAGTTTCATAAGGATTGCTACGTGTTCTTGCACGGCGCATTTCAACACCATCTAATTTATCAAATATAGTCTTTGCCTTAAGAACGTATGTAACTATATTTTCATCACAGAATTGAGTTTCATCATCTATAACAAGTTTTTTAGGCCTCTTCTTTAACCAAGATTTCATTTTGTCAAAAGTTGGCATTTCATTATGAGAATTTTCCAACCATTCCATAGGTTCTCTAACTGATATTTTCTCTTCTGAAGGATTCCATTTGTGACCAAAAGCTTCAAGGCCTGGTATATGAAGTCCAAAACCTCTGCGGCCAAGTTGTTTAGCTGCTTCTACAGGTTCTAAGCGACCTTGCTCTTGTTTACCAAGACCATGACCTTTGTATCCCATCTTTGCCATCATTTTTTTAGCTATATTTTGGCCATGCCAAGGCTGTTCTTCCTTGTAAATTTTAACTTCGCCAAGAGTGCTTTCATTATTTATATTTTTTGTTTCGATCTTCTGTCGTTTAATTGGAACCATGTATCCCATACCAGTTGTTTTTAAATCATCTTGTTCATCATTAGAATTAGATGTTGTGTCATCTGTGTGTCTATTTTGTAAATTTTGGCTGCTGCATTCACCAGCCGAATCCTGTTCATACGATAAATTTTTACGTATGTTAAGCGAGCTCGATTGAGGATCATTTTTCTCATCTGAGTTTTCGTAGTAATTTTCATTATAATCACTGTCATTTAAATCTGAACTTTCATCTACAGAGGTATCATTATTATACTTTTTACTTCTTTTATCAGCATTATGTGGATGCACCTCCTTTTCTTCCATAGTTTCCTTGTCAGAAATTTCAGAATTATTATCTTCGTTATCCAAAACATCAAAATCACTATCATCAGAATCTGAAAAATTAATTTATTGTAAATAATATAAATGTATATGTAAATATATGCAGTGAGGAGCAAAACACTGTGTCAACACCTTTTAAAATGGTATAACTGTATTAATTCCTAGCACTTGAAAGCCATTTTAATTGTAAATTCAAAATAATTTTTCTGACTTATAATATTTCTGCTTTATGAGACAAAGTGCATTTTATGCATATAAAATTGAGCCTTGTGACTCATATGACAACATTTACACTTTTAACAATTTTTTAAATCTAAACTTCTTTAAACTTCTTAAACTCACACTCGAGTGCAAAAAGTTAAAGAAGAGTTATGCAAAGAGTTAAAAGTAAAAAATGTTTTTATATTTTTTATTCCAAGTAATAGCAAAAGTAAAAAAAAGTATTTTGATCATTCTACAATGAACTAATCCCTCTATCATTTACAGAAGAATTCAAGACATTTAGACCAGTTTTTAAAAAGTTATACAGTTTTAAAAGGTGTCATTGTAAATATGATATATATTCCTCATTGTAAATATCTGAGGCTGTAAGGAAAAACACAGCATGTAACAATTTCAAAAAATTTCAGTTTATGTATTAATTGAGCAGTACACAATATAGGATTCAAGTATTTGTCAGAAAAGAATCATGAAAACAAATTTGATGGATAATATTGATGTGACAATATCTCAAAAGTGAAAACATATGACATAAAGCCTTTTTCTTTCCAGCCATAGGTATAATGAAAAAGTTATCAATAATAGCAGAAATTTATAAAAAGATGCGTTACAAAACCGAAGAAAAAAAAGCATTACTTACGACTTTTCATGTTGGCAGAAATTTTGTGGAACTTTTTACTTGACGAAATGTCGAAAATTATATTAATCAATGTGAATAAAAGTATGAACAATTAATCCAAACAGTTAACAGTTGCTTATTATGCTGTTATTATAGGTTATATTTGGATATATAACCACAACAACGAGAATGTGATTCGATCGTTGAAAAATTGGTAACTTTCTGTGTAATGTCACTATTTATAAAAATATAACTTGTTCGAGCTAGTACTTTTCGTATAAATAAATTGTCAAGAAAACCAGCACGTATCAACACAGCACAGCACAGACGAGATGTAAGAGTAACACTTGACACTGCTTAACACCAGACACTCAGACGTTCTGCTGTAACTTTTAACAAATTCTATATATATACGTAGCGCTGCCAACGGTAGAGAGACGAATAGCACCCCCCACCGATGGACGCTGCCAGGTACAATTGCTGAAGACCTAGCTATCTATGTTTATTACTTTATTACCCGAGCTAATGTCGTCGGGGTAGAGCGAAACAGTTAATGGAAACGAGAAAAGATGCAAACAATTGTTGGTCATTTCGCTATAGAAATAATGTCGGTGAAATACGGTGTCGAGGCAAACAATAAAACGATTACCGATACCTGCATTGGTTGCGATGGCTGCATCGTTTCTGCATTGGGCAGTCTCTTTTCTTTTATGACAGCTTCGAACGCTTCTTCGTCGAGCCGAACCAATTTAGGCAAAGCAATTAAAGACTTTCCGAAACTGGCGAAATGTTTTCTTTCATTATATTTCCTTGCATCGTCGCATGCACACAATTGGGCAGTATATAACAATAGACGATAAATAATTGTCAACTACGTGCCTTGGTACGGACGAAAGAATACCGTTTCGAAAATCCTGGGCCTGGGTGACAGGCCCACACCCTAGCCATTAAGGACACAAGGCACATGGTACCCGCCATAAACCTCGGCCGGGCAATCCTCAACAGCTAGTATGTATACCAATTTACACGTTTAAAAAAGGCCCGTACCAAAATAGTGATATTGAATATGAAATACCCATGCCAAACTGTTCCGTTAATCGAGAAAATGAAAGAAATGAAAAAAAACGATTAAAAAGAAATTAAAAGCGATCGTATTTGAAAAAAAAGGAACATTTCTTTGTACAGCCCATTGTTGAATAACAGTATCTATGTAAATAAATTTATAAAAAACAATGTTCAAAAATACGGGTAGAATTTTTATATCGACTTTTATTTGCTCTATCTATGTATGTATTATAAAGATCATACCTTTCTAATAAGAAAGCATATATTTTTTAGTCATTACTAACAATAATATATTTAAAAAAGTAACATTTATTGATACGTGACAAATTTAAAAAATTCCTTATATTTTACAGAGAATAACTTCGGAATTCCCACAGACTCCGTATTCTAGCAAAAAGGCATATTTTCTATACAGTTTCCTTTAAATAGCTGCGAAAAGATCATTTCACTCTAGAAACCAATTTGAAAGTTATAATTATTTAAATACGACCGCATCACGCGTCGCTTATGAGCGCGCTCGGTCGCATATCACGGCAGCGAGTACGCGTGAGTACTGTTTGTATATTTCATGTGTATTTACACGTGTAATTAACGGTTTCAAACTTTAACCCATGTAATTCTTAATGCACAGATACCCATTTTTATTACACATATCAGGAAAAAATGATAATATCATTGAAGAAAGTCCAAATAATGTCGTGTTTGGATTCGTTTTCATTGGGAAAAACTCTTTCGTGCGTGATTCCTCATCTGCTTACATTGAATGCCGTTTGCGGATCGCTGGGTCTTTGGCGCTCAGCAACGCGTTTATTCGAGAAGAGAGAGAGAGAGAGAGAGAGAGAGAGAGAGAGAGAGAGAGAGAGAGAGAGAGAGAGAGAGAACTGGCAATGGTCATTCCAATATTTATTCGTGATCTTCAAATTGAATTTTTTCCAATAACGAAATATTTTATTTAAATATTCATATACACGTGTATCAGAAACACGAATTTAGAATTTCTTAATACACGGTACGCGTGTTCCATGTACACGTGTATTATGCATAGTGCAATTTTTGCGACCGAGATCTTTAGTATAAGCAACGGTAAACGACAGGTAACATAAAGGGTTTGTGCACAGGATTTTTGTATTTGTACTTCGCCTACCACACTTTTCAAACACAGTGACCTTTAAAGCTAACACGATTCTTGATCTTATGGTCGGCATATATGTAGTGGGCCGGATCGAGAAATTCAGTTATATTCTGTTAAAAAAAGAAGCCGTAGGTTGACGACCAGAGCATCCACGAATGCGTTACGATTTCGGAGGTCTTCTGGTCAAACAAAACGAAGGTTCGTAACGGTTGACCAGCGCATCTATGAAAGGATGATAACACATGATAACATATCTGTAAACTATTCGAACTATGGAACCTTCAAATAAGTCAATTTCGGCTATGTGCGTCACCTCCTTTAGCTACTAATGAAACAATTAAGGATAAATAACCCGGTTATCGTTTGCGATGCGAATAGTTACGTCTGATCTTCTTGTAGATGTTAGTATGTAATATGCCAAGCACGTCTGAACGTCCGTAAAAATCATGTTTTCCCATAATCTTAATAAAAGATTTATTTTTCAAATCAATTTTCGGTATCAATGTTGTCTGCAGTCTTATTCCGAGTACTGTTGTAGAGTATAGAGGACAGAATATGTATGTGTAGATTTTTTCACGCTCGGGCAAGACATTCTTATGTTTGACACATACAGTGTAATGTCATTTTTTCAAAGTTGCTATTGATGTTGGTCTCTTGATTAGTTTTATTTCAAATTAGCGAGGTAAACAAGTAATTTAAATGTGTTTTACGTTAGCTATTTACATTAGCAATGTAAATGTATTGAAAATGCATTTGTTAATTGTTAATAAATTAAATTTAACGTAAGGAACAATAGAATCTTTTTACAATCCTCACATTTTCTTGCTGACCGGTGCAATGTGTTTACGTGGATGTTTATACGTTTCTATAATTAGTATAATTATATTATTATAATAATAATTATATAATTATATTATTATTATATTAGTATAATTAGTAGTATTTTGGAAATTTCAAAAGAACTATAGGGGAACCATTAAATGTAATTCAAGAAAAAGGAGGAGCAAGGAAAGAGCAACTGTTGAAAACATCGCTCCGCGATATTAAACATCTNGAGAGAGAGAGAGAGAGAGAGAACTGGCAATGGTCATTCCAATATTTATTCGTGATCTTCAAATTGAATTTTTTCCAATAACGAAATATTTTATTTAAATATTCATATACACGTGTATCAGAAACACGAATTTAGAATTTCTTAATACACGGTACGCGTGTTCCATGTACACGTGTATTATGCATAGTGCAATTTTTGCGACCGAGATCTTTAGTATAAGCAACGGTAAACGACAGGTAACATAAAGGGTTTGTGCACAGGATTTTTGTATTTGTACTTCGCCTACCACACTTTTCAAACACAGTGACCTTTAAAGCTAACACGATTCTTGATCTTATGGTCGGCATATATGTAGTGGGCCGGATCGAGAAATTCAGTTATATTCTGTTAAAAAAAGAAGCCGTAGGTTGACGACCAGAGCATCCACGAATGCGTTACGATTTCGGAGGTCTTCTGGTCAAACAAAACGAAGGTTCGTAACGGTTGACCAGCGCATCTATGAAAGGATGATAACACATGATAACATATCTGTAAACTATTCGAACTATGGAACCTTCAAATAAGTCAATTTCGGCTATGTGCGTCACCTCCTTTAGCTACTAATGAAACAATTAAGGATAAATAACCCGGTTATCGTTTGCGATGCGAATAGTTACGTCTGATCTTCTTGTAGATGTTAGTATGTAATATGCCAAGCACGTCTGAACGTCCGTAAAAATCATGTTTTCCCATAATCTTAATAAAAGATTTATTTTTCAAATCAATTTTCGGTATCAATGTTGTCTGCAGTCTTATTCCGAGTACTGTTGTAGAGTATAGAGGACAGAATATGTATGTGTAGATTTTTTCACGCTCGGGCAAGACATTCTTATGTTTGACACATACAGTGTAATGTCATTTTTTCAAAGTTGCTATTGATGTTGGTCTCTTGATTAGTTTTATTTCAAATTAGCGAGGTAAACAAGTAATTTAAATGTGTTTTACGTTAGCTATTTACATTAGCAATGTAAATGTATTGAAAATGCATTTGTTAATTGTTAATAAATTAAATTTAACGTAAGGAACAATAGAATCTTTTTACAATCCTCACATTTTCTTGCTGACCGGTGCAATGTGTTTACGTGGATGTTTATACGTTTCTATAATTAGTATAATTATATTATTATAATAATAATTATATAATTATATTATTATTATATTAGTATAATTAGTAGTATTTTGGAAATTTCAAAAGAACTATAGGGGAACCATTAAATGTAATTCAAGAAAAAGGAGGAGCAAGGAAAGAGCAACTGTTGAAAACATCGCTCCGCGATATTAAACATCTTCTATGTGTTAGTCTAATCTAGCCTAGAAAGGAGAACTGGCAGCTTGGTTGTTTTTGAATTTCATGAAATGATGAAGAGAGCAAATAAAACTAATCGCAGGACAGTAATGAGCGGGGAAGTTATTTAATACATTGTTCAATGAAATAGGGGACAATCGTTGAGTCGATATAACTCATAGCTATCATGAACATTATTGTGGAAGGAATTAATACTAAAATAGGAACGATAAGGAACAATAAAAAATACAATTGTTTACGATATTCTACGATGAGACAGTTCAAATTCTACTTATCGAATTGTAACGACGGGTTTATACCTTCGACTAACTTCGCGTGTATCGTCGGCCAACTTCAAGGAGTCGAGACTGCATGATAATTTTTTTCTTGAAAAGTGAAAGTAAGCAATTATAAGTAGATATAGAACAATAATCAGAAACTAAAGAGCAATTCTTTGGTAGGCGATACAGCACGTTTTATGCATTATTTCAGAAATTTCCTATTTTTTAAAGTCCCCAGCCTCTCATAAAAGTCACTAGGCGCCTCAAGAAGTTTTTTGGATATTTCTCGAAAAGAATAAGTGAGCAATCAAAACTAATTGGCGAGTAATTATAGGCAATTAAAAAGCAATTTTTTGAGCTATGTTTCATTAATATTGGTTAATATGATGAGCTAGCTTCACACGGTGTAAAGAGATTGGTTGCCTGAGAGCCTAACTTGGCACGCAATTTCTTAATTTGTCACCCAAAAATGGGTCTTTGAACTTCAGAAATCGCGCTGATCATTACCAATATTAGAGTAATTTAAGCTTCTTAATAAGGATCGAGTATTCTGTGTACCTCGTTTGTAATATTAGGGCACGTTTTATCTTACAGACTTTAGACCATACGTGTATACAGTGATATAGTAGTACTTCCTCTTAGCAAGCTCATGTGGGAGCAATGTGCTCGGTTTAAAGTGGACTGGTAGAGAAAGTGCATTTCTCTGATTGGATGATGCTTCACAGCTAAACAGTGCTGCCCTCACAGTTTTACATCCGCTCGCCCATTGCTGCACCCAAAACGGTGATCATTTCTAAAATTATTAAAATTTTTGAAAACCCGTATGTTACATTTTAGATAATAGTTTATAGTATACGAATCAAGAAAATTTATTTAATTCGAACGTTCCAATACTTGTCAATTATGACGGCCAGCAATCAATGTTCTACGAGAACGGGTTTCGGAAGCAGTGAATAATTTCGCAATTTTGTACGATTTTTATTTAAAAAAATTGAATTAACAGAACTGAAACTTACATTTATATTCTTTTATAAAGACTAAATCTTTTATTTAGTAATTACCTACAAAAAAGTTTTCAAACTTACAGTCTTGTAGAATTAGTGTCAACAATTATTGGAGAGTGGAACAATTTACCGTCAGAAAGATTAAAAAGCTATGTTAAACAATACCAAAACGTTTAATTGAAATTTCGATCCGCGATCTACAACGAAACTAGGAATATAAGGAAATAACCGTGATCTTTGTAGGGCTGGGTTATATAGAAGATTTTATTTTATTAGAGCCTCACCATGTGCCAACCAGATTTCTGAATGAGAACGAACTTTTCTGTTTGTATAGATTTAGGGCCCTGAAAAGGGCCGAGTATTTTGGGACCTCTACGCTCTGCTTCATATTCAGGAATCATCATAATCAGAACTGTCTTTTCCGAGGATCGGTTTGCAGTGCTGTTGCGTCCTACCCAGTGTGGACAGGAAAATAAGTTACGCAATGAGTGGAATAGATGACGCATGTATAGGGATGCAAAGATGTCTCACGGAAAGTAGTTCACACATTCTGAACCACATTCAACATATGAGCCGTTTATTTTGAAAGTGGCATAAGTCACTTTACCATAATGAAAAGTGGTGATTTTTTAATGTTTATACGAAATTATTTATGCTCAGAAAAATATCAGTATCCTGAGATAACAAATACAAGTAAATCTTCTCGAAAGTTAGCATCCATATTTTTAAACGTGTTAAAACGCAAACCCTTAAATATATCGACTTAAAAACAAAGTGACTTATGCCACTTTCAAAATAAACGGCTCATATCTTATAGAAACGATAATAACAAAATTTTTTTTAATTAGACACCATGATACGTATTCGAAAGTGAATGATAAGAATAATACATGTAAACAGCAACTTACAAAATTTATTCAACACAAACATAAATAATTATATTAATGCATTTTATAATAAATAGTTCATAAAAAAAGAAATGAAAGTTCTTTAAACTAAAAACTTCATTTTATTGCATTATTATATATAATGAAATTTAAATAGAAAAAATAAAATAATACGTTATACTTATTATTTTATGGATATCATCAATTTGTATTTTCAAATAATGGTATAAATAATTCTTAAATAAATAAGAATTATTTTAATTTTAAGCAAAGTTTGACTACATCTGATTTATACATTGTATATGATATCGCACATCCAGAATCCAGATCACAGATTTTAAATCCATGATCCAGACTTAGAGCATATATGTATGTATACCTGAAGGCATCTATTTATCTACTAACTGCTGAATATAATAACCAGTTCATAGAAAGAGATAGACTCAAATTCAGCACAACCTGTCTCTTTTTGCTGGATATGTATTGGCTGACGTTTCTGCCTTCTCATTTTCCTCAGTGCGTGGACCGGGCCGGGGCCTATTATACTCTTAAAGGTATACTCAAGAGGTATTACAATTTACGATTGTAATTACGGTTACGGATCTTCCATTATCTCCGGATTTCTTTTCACAATTTTTACACGTGCATCCGTTTCTTGGATCAATAAAACAATTGTATGTAAGTGCAGGGTCCTGAGGCTTCTTTGGATTAGAGCGAGACAAGTTTTACTGGAGTAGAGTCTGTCTCTTTCTAAGAACTGGTTACATATTCAGGTATACACAGTAAGGTATATACTGTCAGGTATAAACTCTCAGGTATACACTGTCAGGTATAAACTCTCAGGTATACACAGTAAGGTATATACTGTCAGGTATAAACTCTCAGGTATA